ATAATTAAATATTGAACGATACAGAGTCGAGTAATAAAACTCTATAATAAACAATATTTGTTATGATGTCATTTTAAATATAATAAATTAATTTTTTAATATTTAATCTTATTATAGAAAAAGAGAATTTTGGAGATTAATGCTATCAAGAAACTCATAAGACAATAAATTAAAATATGAAAATCTGAATATAACAAAAAAATAACTCTTGTATTAAATTTGTGGTTTATCTTGCAACTAAACGTATAACTACTATGGTAGAAATGATGATCGAGAGAAATTAAAGCTTAAACTTAACATCAAAGAGTACAAACCAAGCTATTTTCCCCCAAAAAATTTAAAGATTTCATCAAATTTATAAAATACTTCACTATTAGTTTTGGTTGTATAGATAAATTATCATCAAAGAATATCTTATTATATCATATTGTTGTACGAACCAAATCACATCAGTAGTTAAAAGAATGATTATTATTTTTATAAATTTCGGGTTCGAGCACCAATGACTGCAGTAAGGGTGATAAAATGTTCATTGTCAAATGATTGAGAGAATATTGAGAAAAGATATTACTTTATAATCACGTTAACTTAATTATATATATATATATATATATATATATATCAAAATAAATTTAGACACGTTTTATATATAATAAAATTTGAATATAAAAATTTAAAGTTTTAGAACTCAAGGTAAAACTAAAATAATGGTGCAGATCTAATCACACTGTGTAAAATTATTTTACTTTTACGCCTGTTTGGGATCATTGGATGAAAGATAGTCCTAAAAAGATGTAAAACTAAAGAATTTTACAGAATACAAGCGAATATGTATATGTATATATATATATATATATATATATAAAGTATGTAATTACTTATCCAAAAAAAAAAAGTATGTAATTGGTAAATAAAAATTTAAACAAAGGTCACTACATTTATGAAAAGTTTATATTTCAAAAACCTTGTATTACGTTAATTACGTGAAGTTCCAAATTCAAATTGAACTCTCGTAAAAGGAAAACGTAATTGTTTTAGTCGTTCACCTTAAAAGCCTAACTTGTGGGGAAAAAAATATTATTGCCTTCTCCCTGTAAAAGATGTTTGGACGGTGACAAAAATATCCTTTCATTATAGGGTACGTACCCTGAAAATGTCAATAGCCACAATATTTTTTCTCTCCCCAAGATGTGATTAAATATTAAAATTTTATTTTTAGTTAAATTAATTATATCAATTATCTTTAAATTATTATTGAATCTTAAATTAGCTTACAAACTTTAAAATATTTTAATTAAAATTTCATATTATTAATATTTTATCAGTCAAATAAAAAAAAGAATCATCTTATATATGATAGAGATCATGGCCATCTCAAAATAATGCTAGAATTTGAAGAAAATATTTTTCAAAAGTTGATTTTTTTTATGATTTTATTGTTAAATATACAAATGCTTAAGTATAAAATTTTGAAGATGACAAATTGAATTATGAATAAAAATATATATTCATATTATATAAAATTTTGAAATCTTTAAAAGGTTATGATCATATTTTTTTTATTATCCTTTCTATTTTTATGTCGTACATTTTATTTTGATAAATAAATCTCTCAATGATTAAAATGTAATCTTAATCACGTCAAAATCAAAAGGTAATCTTAGCATAACCATGTTAGGACTAGTTATGATTAAATTATGGTGTTGATTTGAATAAGTTTGGAAATTATAAGATAGAAATAAGTGGCCAGTTGCCTTCTTCTCTTTGAAGCAAAAGGTAAAAGAAAGAGAGGGAATCGAGCAAAGCAAGCAAGAAACAGAAAAAGCAAAGATATTTTTTTATTCAACATGTGAAAGTAGAATTGCTTAATATATATATATATTCTGATAGTGACAGTACTCACAGAAGGTTGGCAAATAAGTAGGGGTCCCACAGACACAAGGGTAGTGACCCTTTATGAAGCTTAGACAAAACTCTGAAAGGTCCCCAATTCCCCCCTAAACAAGGGGCATTATTAGACTGTCAGTACCCTTCTGTTGGACAGTCACCTCAAGTTTTTTTTAAAGATAAGATTTGTGGTTCAGCTCATGTGTTGGACCCATGATCATGAACCATGCCAAACCATAGTTAGACAGCAAGTTAGCCTAGCCTTGTGAAAATGATCGGTTACTGTTGTTAATTAGTCCTCAACTAATTCCACCACCATACTTTTTCTCATATTTATGTTTAAACTACTTGCAAGATCTGCATATATATCCAGCTTTCAGACTTATTAAGACAGGGTTTAGGGTATGCATAAACCCGGAATTTAAGAATTAAGACTGTTGAAATTGACTGTACATCCACTGACAATGGAAAAAATAGAAGCTTTACGATGCCCTCATGTTACCTAATTTCACTGCAGGCAATGCAAAAAAATCATATGCTAAAGATTGTATTCAACTAACTTGTTTGACTCAACTACTTTGGATGTCATCAAGTATATATAATATATATTAATTTTATATAAATTTAAACGGTTAGATAAATAAAAATAGATAGTTAAAATTATCTTCTTATTTTATTTTTTCAGTATATATCTTTTTATTTTTATTATTAATTTCAACCATTTACTTTTACTCTTTCAATGATCATAAAATCTATGTAAAATTAAAAGAATTTTACATAATATATCTGAATCCTATCCATATATATATATCAAACTCTAGTTGGTAGTTGACTGGATTCTTCTTTTGCTTTAGGTCCATTTTTTTCACCATCTCTAAAGATCACTACCCTGTTTGTAGGTGGAATTGTGGTAGCTACCAGTCTAGTAAAGTAAGGACCGAAACTTAAACAATGGAGGCATGGGAATATAGAAATACACTACTGTATATAACGCAAAAGTCTCCTTTCAATAAAATTTGTTCATTCACGGTGTTATCACTCGAGTTATGGACATGTTGATTGTAATATTTAGACTGTCACGGTTATAAACAATTTATTTAGTCTAATTTAGATGGATAGTTACAACTAATATTTCATAATAGGATTGTAGGCAGTTTATATTGTCTTATTTTCTTGAAATAGACGTAGAAAAAGATGATGAAATATAATTTTCCATATTGACAGAATAATTTTATTGTAATTTTTGTGTTAATGTTAGGTTTAAGATCACAACAATTACTTGTAGATTGATATGTTAAATGAATATGATTATCTGTTATATTTGACTCCTAAATTATAATTGATAATTAATTTAAATTTTATTATAATTCCAATAGTTGAAGATATTTTAGTAATATATTTATTTTGGGTAAGAATTTTTATGAAATAATCTTTGGTGACTAGGTATTTAAGTATATAAATAGAGATTATGTCTCAATGTTTAGGATAGTGAGAGAGAGAATTATTTTGGAAATATGTAATCATTTTTTTGGATATATATAACTTTTGAGGTTTACATTGCATAGATACTTTTGTAATGATGTTGGAAGAGTGATTTGGTATATATCGAGTTTTGATATCTACATCAAATTTTGGGATATATGTGATATCATGTATATGTACTCTTCATATTCTATACTGAATTATTGTTCAACTAGCCCGTGTAGATAAGCAAAGCATAACCAAATTAAATCTCATATCTTATGTATATCTAATTTTATGAATTTCTATCCTCAAATTTCTAATACTACCTGACAATATATTTGATTCTCACACATAATGTGATCTTAATGATAGTCATTTCAAAAATCATATTAAGAGAGAATGGATGATTAAAAAGTACACCAAATCGAAGTTTGATTAACATAAAAGGACTCTTCGAAAATCTCTTCTTACTCTGAAAAGTTTTATTTCTAACATAATTTGTTTGTGGAGGATACATAAGAGGTATAAATAATATTATTTAAGTAACCTAAAGTTTAGTAGCACCATATAAACATATAATTAGTGAGAAATATTTTAGATACATTTACTTTTGTGTTTATGAGAGAGAGAAAGGGATTCTCAGGTCATTTAAATGCAGCAACTGACATGGGAATGGAGACCAAAATTTGTTGGTGTAATAAAAAGAGGAATCCCAACAATGATTCAATTTCCTTTTTTCACTTTAACATTGCTATTCAAAGACAGCGGATTTCACTTTTGTCCTCATCTTCTCACAACACATGAAACAAAGCTTCAACATAGACTTTAATAAATTCCAAGCATCTTCTGTTTTTTTTTTTTTGCTTGTACAGCAGATGTTCTGTCTGCCTTTTTCTGTTCCACAAGCATTAAAAGAGGGAACATGGACAGTGAGCAAGAGATGAACAACTGATAGATCTTGTTACATTCATAGTATAATGAAATCTATGGAAAGTGTACCTCCAAGGTGCCCTCTACGAGGCCGATGGCATGCCCTGTCTGTCCTTGGATTGGGGTGCCCTCTCCCCACTATCCGAAAAAAGAAGGTAAAATCTAGGTAAAACTTCATGCTGTATTCTATGGTCCAATTTTGCAGTTGTGGCCATTTTGATGTTCCATGAATAAACCCAATGGGCCTTACCTGAAGATTGTATATTGCAATATTTCTTATCTGGTGTCCAAGGCCCAAGCATGGTATAGGTGCTTTCTTCTTATTTTTTAGTAACATTCATGGAGACTTGTAATAAATTAAAAAATTCACATAGCTGTCTTTAACTTGAGAATGATGTACGAAATGAGTTTGGGATGGAATATTAGCAAATGATTTGGATATAAGGAGTAAACCGATGTGAAATGGTGCAAAAAAACATCCACAGATGACGATGACAATTCCTCATAAGATTACAAGAGAATGGACGAATTAAGTACATCAACACACTTGTTTTATCACAAGGGAATGAGATGAGAAAGAGAGAGGGCTGGTTTTTGACCATACATATCACTTAGTCTGATCTCCAAGCCATCAACATAGCACCACCAACATCCCTCCCTCGAACCCGATGTCATAATCGTCGTATCCATCGTCTCTGTCTTTCTAATTATCGTAATGCTTCGTCGGCTTAAATCCGTCAGCAAAAGCTGCAGCTGCAAAGAAAGTGGTGGCGGCATCCACAACACCGGCTGCAGGTTCGTTGCTGCTCATAATACTACTATAGACTTCAACTCTAGTCCCGGTAAGTACCCATTTTCGGAACTCGTGCAATGCGTAATTTGGAACATTACCATTAACGGATGTGAAATGGAGCAGATTTGAAGGCGAATTGTCTATACGGAAGGAGTACGCCTAAACCGGCTATAAGTAGATACAGAGGAGTGCAAGTTTTCACTTACAAGGAGCTCGAATTGGCCACCGATAACTTCAGTGAAGCAAATGTTACCAAGAATGGAGGGTCGAGTGTGGTGTATAAAGGGGTTCTTGTTGATGGCACCGTGGTGGCCATTAAGAGGCTTCACCGTGATCGAAAGCGAGGGGAGCGCTCTTTAAGGACGGAGGTGGATCTGCTAAGCCGGTTGAAGTCTCCTTATTTGGTGGAGCTATTAGGCTATTGTGCAGACCAGCAACATAGGCTTCTGATATTTGAATTCATGCTTCATGGTACTCTGCAACAGCATCTTCATCATCCCGGCGGTGAATATTGGCCGTTGAATTGGGGAAGCCGGTTAAGGATAGCCCTTGATTGTGCTAGAGCACTCGAGTTCCTCCATGAGCATGCTACCCCTACTGTTATCCACCGTGACTTCAAGTGCACAAATGTATTACTAAGCCAACACCTCCTTGCCAAGGTGTCTGATTTCGGATTGGCCAAAATGGGGTCGGATATGATCAACGGTCAGATTTCAACACGCGTCCCGCGGTTCACGGGAAATATAGCTCCAGAGTGAGTCCCTCATCATGTTTCATCATCGGAATTATCACCGCCACACTAATGAATCGAAATTCTGGCAATGCAGATATGCATCAACAGGCAAACTTACCACGAAATCCGATGTCTACAGCTACGGTGTGGTGCTTTTACAGCTTTTAACCGGTCGGAAGCCGGTCGATATCACGAGGCCTCCAGGAGAACATGTCCTTGTTTCATGGGTTAGTGTCCAAAGCTCATAAGCCATATTCCTCTAACCCTATAAGGAAATTTTTCGACCAATGGTCCAACTTCTCATAACTTGACAGGCATTTCCAAGGCTAACAAACAGGGACAAAGTAGAAGAAATGGTTGATCCAGCCATACAAGGACAGTATTGCAAGAAGGATCTGATTCAGGTGGCTGATATTGCTGCAATGTGTGTGCAACCGGAAGCCGATTATCGACCTTTGATGGTCTACGTTGTACAGTCACTGATCCCTTTAGTTAAAAACGTCAGCTCCGTTAATTCCGCCGGGTTCTCTAGATTTAATCGTCGAAGCACCGGTCTGAAGTATTAGTACACATCCATGTAAATTGCAGAGCTACATAACTATTTTCCTGTTCTTATGGTTGCATAAAAATAAAGGCTACTGCCCGGCGTGGCATGCAACTTTATGTTCGAAATGCTTAAAAAATGCGGCATTTTGTATGTTCAAAATTCAAATTTTTAAAACGACAACTCTTTTCTCTATCATCAAATTGTATGCAGCATTAATTACGATTAATGAATAATCTTTAGGGTGCGTTTGGTTCACAGAATGTAAGATTATCGGTGGGAATAAAAGATTACCAGAGAATAGAATTACTGGGAATATTGTATTTTGTGTTTGGTTGGTTTAGCAGGAATGTAAGATTATTGGAATGTATATTTGACTAAATTGTCCTTATTATATATTTTTATAATATTATAAATTGTAAAATATTTATATATTTTCTTTAAAAAAATTAAATTCATAATATTTATATATATTTTTTTACAAAATTAAAAATATAAAAAAGGTTTAATGAAAGGGTAATTTTTTTTAACCCCTGAACTTCATATAAAATTTTAATTATAGATTTTTTTGTAAATCTAAAATAATTTAAGGATACATTTTTAATTTAACCTTCGTAGAATTTTTATTATTCAATAACAGAAGAATGATATTTTTGAAAAAAAATAAAAATTTAAGGGCATTTCAGTCAAAACGCCGGTAATGTTACAATACCTAAGGGAAGGGAGGTAATGATATTCCTGGTAGTATACCCAAAAAAATCTACTATTAGTAATAAAACATTACCGGAAATGAGATTATCGGCCAACCAAACATGAAAATGTCCCACAATCCTTGAACCAAACACCCCCTTAGAGTAGTTAAAACGCTCCGTAATTTCAATAGAAATGTTCATGCACAATATCAGAGAAGAGTTCTCATTGATCTTTAAATTTTTTAGAAAACAGTCCGTATTTTCTCAAAAAAGAATTGTAGATACATGATCACAGAACTAGAAGATTCATGGGGAAGAGACAAAAGTTGAGGTTAGTGGAGCAATGGCGATCGCAGAAGATAGAGACCTGCAATTTCGTTCAATCAAAGTGATTTGCTATTCGAAAACAACAAGACCTTCGGCAGCAAAAAGGACAGTGGAACAAAACACAGTGTTTCTGTATAATAGACGACAAAATGAACATTAGACTAAGCACCATCCAAAAAAAATTTATAGACTGGGCCAATATAAGCATAATACAAATTTTATCTAAAAAAATTCATATATATATATATATATATATATATATATTTTGATCATCTACCGTTAAAAAATAACAATGATGTTAACATGTTTTTTTTTAATTTTTTTCTATCATGACATGATATTATCTTATAATTATACATCAACATCACCACTATTTTTTTTTTAAAGATGAGAGACCAAAACATAACTAAAATATAACATTAAGTGTGATTTAAAATAAATAATAGTTGAGTGACCAAAATAGAAATCGAATAATAATGACTTAATAAGCAATTTACCCTTTCTAGGCATAGGGGGGCATGGCTTAGATACACCCCTGATTGATGTTCTCTCTAAACTTATCTTCCGTTTGCGCCACACACCTCTATTACTGTTTATCTTCTCCGCTGCTGGTGACCGTCCCTTCCTTTTGGCTCGTCACAAACATTTCTACTGCTGACCAACCCTATCTTCCGCTTGTGCAGTACGATGAGAATAAGTGGGGAGGTGGCATCATGCATCCACGTCATAAGCTCGAATGAAAGCAAAAGAAAGGCTTTTTGCAAAGGAAGTAGCACAGAGATTGACTTAGAGGAATATACACTCTTTCAAGCTCACAATTTTGATTCTTAAATGTGACGGTTCTGTAAAACCCAACCGTAAGTCCCAAATCAAAACAAATTTTCTCCATTCTTTTTGCAAAACTGTATACATAACAACGAAATTCAAACAGATCTAAAACGAAGCTCATCTCATCATGAAGGTTGGAGAGATATTGGGCCAGCAATTTAATGACTTCGAGAGGAGTGGTGGTGGAGGACTCGATCTCATTGATTACCAGCTAAGATTCGAGAAACAAATACGAGTATCAGAGACTGCAAGTATTAGAAGAAGAATAAAATAAAATTTCAGTAGAAAAAGGAAGGCTGTACCTAGTAGGTGCCGACGGCGATGTAAGAGCGATAGACGAGGCAGTCGCGCTCGACGGCCTGTAGTGTTTCGTGGATTACTAGTAATGTTTGTTAATTAACCTCGTTTTCTTATACTAAATTATAGGTTTAAATGTATTTTGTTAAAATTTAATTTAGATACTTCAATTTTATGGAATGAAACAAATCATAAAATTTTAAAAATGAGTTTTGATTTATTTTTAAAAAAACATTATACTTTTTCTAGAAACTTCAAAAAATTGATTTTTAAAATATATATTTTAAAAAAATTGAGATTTTTTTATTTTAAAGATTTTAATTATATATTTTTTTATAAATTTAATATTTATTATGTATCTCGAAGCATGTTCTTAGAGTGTCTCTCACACACACACATATATATATATATATATATATATACAAAAACAACGAGATAATGCATTGAAATTAATTAAGGCATGCTTCTTGATATTCATAATTCTAGAAATGAGACGTTCAAAACAAGAAACTTGACGAAGGATAAGATTTTAGTTTTATTATTTTGAAATGATAACCCTTGGGCAATGATATTTATATTTGGGGATGAAAATAAGTCGAGTTATTAAGTTTGACTCGATTTCAAAAATTTTAAAATTAGATTTAATTCGATTTGAAAATTTTAATATGAAAGTCTTGTATTGTATTTTTTTTAATAACATATAAATATTAATATTATTAATAATTTAATTTAAAAAATCTAAAATTTAATATATTATTTTTTTCCCGAGTAGCTCGCGAGCTTTTCGACTCGGGTATCAAGTTGCTCGTTTCGGCTCGTTAAAAATTTGAATCGAGTTCAACCTTAAATTGAATTAATTCAATTTAAGAATTAATCAATCTCAAATAACTCGTAATATGTATGATTTATAGTACAATTCCTAAGTGCTACTTCCCCCAATTACCACGTGGAATCATCCATATTAAAGCAATACAAGTCAAGAGTATGCCGTGTTAGAATTGGTGTTATTTTGTCCCGATTGTTAGAAGATTTAGCAAGGAATTTCTCTTGCTTGAAATGATGCACCTTATTTACTTGAAACAAAGACTAAGTTGATGGTGATGCTAAGCTGACTTCTATGGGATGACATAGTATTTCCATGGAGTGATTGACGGTGCATTTAGAATTTAGGTGCCCTATATAATGCACTTCATCTTAAGCCTCTAAACCCATTGCTCATTATCTCAGTTTCTCCATGGCTAACTTCGGTTTTACGGCTTCAGCAATGCTGCTGCTCTTTGGCCTGCTAATGGCTTCTTTCCATCCCACAAGTAATCTCTCTTTCTCTCTCTAACATGTATTAGTTACGAATAAAATATTAATATTTGTTGTACCGATAATGTATACTTTTATGTATCACCAATAAACTAAATTAACCACACATATAAGTTACTTTGAAATTCATTTTTAGGTTGATTATCCATTTAAATTAATGATTGTACTTACTTGAGATTTTATTTGTGTCTCACGTATAAAAATTTTGTGTTGTTAATATATGCGCGTCTACTTTAAAAATAGAGTAAACTATCTATTTGGTCATCTACCAATAACTTGTTTTTGTTTTGGCCGCACAACTATTATTCTTTAAGAAATCATTGCTAATATTACTCTTTTCTGTTTTAATCACTCGTTTAAAATTAGTAATAATGTTAACATGTCATCATAAGGTATTAAAAAAATACTATATCAATATCACTGTTAATTTTTTAACGACAGATAACCAAATGACAACAAAAATATAACATTAGATATGATTTAAAAAAATAATTAAATCATCAAAATAAAAACTAAATAATAAATAGATGATCAAATAGATGTTTTATGTTAAAATAGAAGATAATTTAGCGTAAAATAGTGTATAGAGAGGCAAGTAAAATTCAGTTCAACTAAAAAATATTATTATTTCAACGTAGGTGGCCAAGTAGGTGTTTGCTACGGCATGATGGGCAACAACTTACCGTCAAAGGCCGACGTTGTAGCCCTCTTCAACCAGAGAAACATAAGGAGAATGCGACTCTATGATCCCGACCAAGATGCTCTCCGTGCTCTCAAAGGCTCCAACATCGAGGTAATGTTAGGCCTTCCCAACGACAACCTTCAGCGGATCGCCGGCAGCCAAGCCGAAGCCAACACCTGGGTACTGAACAACGTCAGGAACTACGCCGACGTCAACTTCCGCTACATCGCCGTCGGAAACGAAGTCCAACCTTCGGATCCCGCTGCACGTTCTCTACTCCCCGCGATGCAAAACATTCACAACGCCATAGTCTCCGCCGGACTTGATAATAAAATCAAAGTTTCCACCGCCATCGACACCATCACACTCTCGGAGTCTTCCCCTCCATCGAGAGGGTCTTTCAAGCCCGAATCAAGACAGATTCTGGACCCCATCATCCGCTTCCTGGTGAACAACCGAGCTCCGTTGCTCGTCAACTTGTACCCGTTTTTCAGCTACGACGACAACCCCGTCATCAGTTTAGATTACGCTCTCTTCAGATCACAAAACCCAGTCGTCTCGGATCCTCCGTTGCAGTACCGTAACCTTTTCGACGCCATATTGGACGCCGTTTACTCCGCCCTGGAAAAATCCGGTGGCGGTTCTTTGGAGATAGTTGTATCGGAGAGCGGATGGCCGTCGGCTGGAGGTCGGAAAAGGGGAGCAACGAATATCGATAATGCGAGAACTTATAATCAGAATTTGATACAGCATGTGAGAAATGGGACGCCGAAGAAGCCTGGAAGGGCTATAGAAACTTACATTTTCGCCATGTTTGATGAGAATGGTAAACCTGGGGAAGAGATCGAAAGGCACTGGGGACTTTTTCTTCCCAATCGGCAG